ACACTGCAAGTATTGCATGTATGGAGGCCCAGAAGGGACGATGGAGCAGCTTTACTTTAATATAAGTCTGTATTTTATTTTGAAGGAACAAGCTGCTGACTCAGTGTGTAGATTAGATTGATCAGAACAGAAATTAAATGAACGTCCTTCATCTCTGAGTGAATTTTCATCCTGTGTTGTGATGATCAAATGTCGAGCAGATTTTATTTTATTGTGATTTTCAGGAATAAGAATACAGCAGACTATCTGCTCTGTACCTACTTAACCAGTCTGATGGACAAATATGCAGATTTCCAGCTGAGAAGACTTGCAATTAAATAATTTAGAAACCTTATTACTTCCACTGGATTTCCTCCCTATTTAATTACCGAGTTGAATTTATTCATCAGCTGAGTAAAGTTTGAATGTAACGAGCTCTTTAAATGCTGGAAGAGGGGCGAGTAACAGGCCACTCTCAGACAGCGGTGAGTTCAATGTCCATATGTGTTGTGTAACAAACGGCTCTCAGGTGAGGTGAGCTGCGTTCACTGACTCAGTGGGTAGAACCAACACACAGCCGAGGTGTCAGATTGAGAGGAGCAAACAGATCTCTGAGGATATGAACGCATGAATATGAAATTTAAAAAATGTCATTTGCATTCATTAGTGGAGTCTGAAGCAGAGCGAGAGGAAACTCTGTAACAGGATCTGTGATTCTCACGTGGTTCGCAGCGTTTGTACATGTAGCCGTCAGACGACACGACAACAAGCAGGCGGAGAAACTCAAACAAATCCAGATCTTTAAGATCTCACATTTTATCTGCTGCAGAGGCTGAGAAATAAAGATTTAAGTAAAGGTTTAAATTCTGTGTTCTTCTGAAAACCCCTCAGGTTTTGTTTTTGTCTTCAAACACTGTTGAGTTTTTTTTAGAGGGAGTTTTTTTTAAGGTGGCCTTCGATGGACGACCCTTCTCCTTCCATCATATTAAAGTGAAGCCAAAATAACCACCATAAGGCCCCGTGTCCATCTAGCGTTTTTCCGGGCAGAAAAGCTCCGGCTGTACGCTCGGGAGTGTCTGCATGAAGCGTTTGTGCTCTGAGAAGAAAAGTGCTGCACCTCCGTCCTGTCTCTATGACAACAGTCTGTTGATAACGGCCGCTGTATGACCGACTCTGCGCCGTTACTTTTTACTGCATGTTTTTTATTTGAGATCGTTTATTTCCTGATCAAAAATAAAACGCTGGGCGCTGCTCTTTTCCTCAGATGGCCGCCTGCTGCTGCGAACGTTCTCTCATTGTAAACAATTGAAAAAAGACGCTGGCGCTCAGAGAAAAAACGCAACAATAGGTGGACTTGTTGTCTGTGCAAATGAACACACTTTTCTCCAGGTGACTGTAGTTATGACAACTGTCAGAAAAGAAACAATTTGTCCGGTTGTTTTAAAGCACATAATTAATGATTGAACACGTTACTAATAAAAAGAGGAAAGTGCCAGAAAATCAATGCTAATCGCTAACCTGGAGACATGATGAGGATGACATGAGGATGATAATAAAGGTTAGTGTTTAAGTGAGCGTTGGGTTGGCTCAAGCAGCGACCGGGAGTTATACATCCGTAAAATAAATATGTTTTCAATCACTGTATGAAGCTTGGATTAGCTTGGGTTGTATTTGCAGCGGACAGAATGGATGTTGAAGGTTGGAAATGAGGAATTTTGTCTTCCTCTGTCTGAAATGAAACCCATTGTTTTACAAATAAGAGCTTTTAAAAAAACAGAAGTCTGGCGCTTCTGCAACATATACTAAGAGGCGGATCAGTCTGGATTGTGTAGAAGGAGACGGAAAAGAAAACAGATTGCACAATATCATAGCGACAGAGATGCAGAGACAAAGGACCCGAGTTAGCACGGTGCTTCATTTTACATCAGGAAACATCTCACACAGCGTATTTATGCCGAATAAACCAATCTGCGTGTTTCTCTCTGGATATTTTCTGAGCCGAGCTGCCACATGGAGCTCAGTGTGGTGCACACATTCAATTATAAGATATGTGTGTGTGTGTGTGTGTGTGTGTGTGTGTGTGTCAGGGTGAGTCTGTAAATGCAAACAGCTGATGGATGTGAAGTCTCCTGGCCTGGAAAGCAGTTTGCAACCTGCCTGTGATGTGAGAGAGAACGGCTCTTTGTGCTGCTGTGGAATAAAAAACCTCTGAGCACTCAGCTGTGTTTTCAGCCCTGAGCACGGTCTGCAGGCACGCCCCTGAGGATCCCTCGACAACCCCCGGTCTAAAAACACCATGCAGGGCAGAATCACACAAAGTAACAGCATCCCATTTTCCCCTGCTCGTCCTCTGTGAGGCCGTCTCCCAATTAGCCACAGGGCCGCTGCTGAGGCGAGATAACAATAGAAGCACATGTATCCCCTAAAGAGCTCACTAGAGGACCTTTATTACTGTATTGATATCTCCTACATGTCACCACTGCCCTCAGTCGCCTGGCAGCATGCCCGCACAGCTCCTATCACCAGAGGGGCTGTAACTCAATACAAGAAGAAAACAGCAGGACATGGCATCAGCTTTAATGGTACATGCTGTAATTAGGGAGCTGCTGCAAGGAATAAATATGAAATATGATGCAGAACTCAGGCTGCACAGTAAATACAAAACACAGATTAATATGTGAAAGTACAAAAACAGGTCAGGTAAAAAGTCGAGTGACACCCTCGAATGAACGAGAGTTTTTCATCAAATAAAAACACAACGAGTGGCAGATTAAATAAAAACAAACAGCAGGAACAAATACTTCCCTCAGGTGTTCACTGAGAATTCATCCTTCAATATTTCCTTCATGCATGAGACACAAACATTTTAAAATACAGAACATCTCTGCTGTAAAACACGGAATAAAACAAACATCATATTGCATTTTTTCCACACAAAGAGAAAAATAAAGTGTTCAAGTTAGCTCACATTCTCGTAGCACCACAAACAGGTTATGACATGTAACAGAAGTCCAGTCACTCTGAAACGGCAAAGGTTAGATCAAGCTAATGTGTGAGTTCATGTGAGACACCATCACCAGTAAGAGGCGCTCTGATTGGTCCACAGGAAAGATTTAAAACAGTGTCAGTTTGGTTTGAGGCCTCATGTTGTTTCAGTATCCCTCGTGAGATTTAAAAGAAAGTGTCTTAATTTAGCGAGAGAAAATAATAATAAATTAATGTCAGAATTCACGAGAAATGCCACCAAACTTCAGCTAAACTTAATGTGGAATGTGCGCGTTTAGTCGACGAAAACAATGACGTCACCCTCGCTAGTCAGCACCAGAACACGAATCATTTTTATATGTTGGCCCTCGATGCCGATCAAATGTTCTAATCAAACCGCCATGCAGCCACCCTTCACTAGTGGGGGCTGTAGCTCTGGTTAGAGGAAGAATGTGCGACATCAAGTCTATCCTGTGTAAATGTGTCTCTGAGTCATGACTGTCTACAATGAGTGAGAAGCTCGAGTCCTGCTGGCTGTGTTGTTGTCAGACCGTGTTTATATGGACGGCCGGCTCCTCCCCTTGTGTAAAAACTGTTTTAGTCAAGAACTAGAGAGAAGAAGAAGAACATACTCACTGATTATTTGGATGTTAGTAAGAGTTTTTAGGTCACGATCATTCTGTGTCAGTTTATGTGCAATATGAAGCTACAAGCTAGCTAAAGAGCGCTAACATTAGCATGCTAACACAACAATGCAGGACACAGGTGATTGCAGCTCGAGCAAGACAATTTTGTCTGCTGGTTGCTGTTAATGGTGCTTAATTATGTTGCGCTCTAATTGTTAACTTCTGTGTGCAAACGCGAGTGTAGAGGGGTTGGAGGTGTGTCTCTGGAGGAGAGAAGGCTTCAGTATGGAGGAGGTGTGGCCTAACAGCAGTTTGTTTTGGTTTCATGCTGGAGCTCAAGGGCGACATCTACTGGATCAAAAAGTCACACATTCTTTCTCCCCGTGCTCTACTACCCGGATGTATACAAGCTCGGTGATCAGAGTGAAGGAGCCGATTATGAGAAAAACATTTGGTGTTTGGTGTAAAGGATCTCACAGGGGGATTGAAGGTAGGAACCTTAGGGTCTGCTCAGGTGTTTCACAGAGAAGGGGAAACAGCTGCTGCAAGAGTTACAAGCATGTGTTTGTTTTTACGAATGTTGTGTTTAACAAGGCAGTTTGACTTGGACTTTCATTCATCGACAAAGTAAGGTTTAGTGAGTCAGATAAATAATCAACATGACTGCTCAACATCTGTACGACTTGACAAAACACATTGAAAACATCTGGACTAGAGAAGAGGAGACGAGAAGAGTTGTCAATATGAGGAAACTTTTGTCTTTAAACTTGAAACACAACGATCAAATCTGCACAAATATGTTGTTTCAAATTAATCTGTTTAAAAGGAACTATTGCAAAGACGTTTGTCTGCGAATCTAAAAGTGTTTCTTTTTCAATCTGACACTTAAGAGCGAGGTGTTTTAAATGAATCGGAAGGATTTGTTTGCAGCTCAGCATGCGGACGCGTGCGGACTCTGAGCAACGTCAGCTAAACTTTGAATCTGCAAAGAAAACTTAGAATCCAACAGCAAAGCAAAGAGTGCACACAGTATTTTACTGGCAACATAACATTTATGAGTGCAGTTTGAAAAGTTTGTTCTTTCTTTTAACCGTCTGAATGTTAAAAGATAAAGACTGAAAAGTGACCTCGTATCCAAACAAAAGGCGTCTTTTTAACCTTCGGCTGGTTAGATTAAAGGAGATTTTAAAGTTGCATTAAAGTGTCTAAAAGTTTATATTTATATCAAAACTCTTCAATTTTTTTCCCATTTGTGGACGGAGAAAGTTTCACTCTCTGACGCTTTGTGCTGGAAGTTTGAGGAGACCCTCAGATGATTGTCCTGGAGCTCTGTGAGGGGAGTAAAAGGATCAGGGGTCAGTCCTGCTGATCTGAGGTGAGACTCAGAGAGACTCAGTGTGTGTGTGTGTGTGTGTGTGTGTGTGTGTGTGTGTGTGTGTGTGTGTGTGTGTGTGTGTGTGTGTGTGTGTAAGCATCCATTTCAAATGCCCCAGCTGTCACTGAAGTACTGATCCTCTTCTTCATCTTCCTTATCCTCTTCCTCTTCTTCTTCTTCTTCCTCGTCAGTCTCATTTTTCATGAGGTCATCGTCTTGTAGCTCCTCCTCCTCTTCCTCGTCTTCCTCTTTGAGCTGTGCGAGCATCGTTTGTAAAGTGGCTTTGACTTCCTGAACCTCCTTTTCTAGCGACTGTGCAGAGAGTGTTAAGGAAGAATGACATGCTGCGGACACAAACACACATCAACATGTTGATAAAAAGGATGCCAGCAGACAAATATCAGTGACACTTGTGGCCCCTCGATGGGCTGGTGGAGAAAGGGCAGCTTTCGCATGATGAAGTCATCAATCCTCCAATTTGGCCACCAAATGGATTAGAGGGACAGATAATCAAGTCATACCCGATTCAACCCCGTCCCATTCACTATTCATGAGCTCATCCATGCTGGGGGGGCGGGGCAGCGAGCGGGGACCAAAGCAAGCAGGCTGCCCCTCTAAATTATTCATAAGGCGTGGATGAAACAGGACGGAGGCTGTCATCAGTGGGGGGATTGTTTAACCTGCTTAGAAACTCAGATTAATCGTGTGAGTGTCCACTTTAAGTGGGGAATCAGAGGGACGGCTCTGACGGCAGATGGGACCTGATGGCTCGTTTTACTGTCTGAATGGACACAGATTGTCCTCATTCATAATTAAACGGCTGTTAAAGAGCCTTTCATGAATACTGCAGAAGGTTCGGCGAGGTCCAAATGGGACTCCGAGGCTCAGAGTTATGTTTGAAACCTTGCAGGCTGGACTCAGACGACAGAAGGAGCCGCCAGATTTAAACCCAAAATATCACTTCCAACAATCTGGGAGAAATCTGGTGTGGACTGTTGGTCAGTGACGAGCTTCAGACCAGATGATCTGGTCGTTTGAGCATCTCACGGATCCAGAACGGCTCCTGACTGAGGTAGGATTCAATCTTCATTATTTAAATGATTGATTATCGAAAAAGATCTTCAGTCAGTCAGTCGGTTTCTAAACATCAGCCAATGAGAGCCAGAAGCCCAAACGGAGACATCCTAGCCTCGAGGCTAATGTTAACTAGCATGCTACTGTTGACAGAAAAACGAAAAAGTATGACCTCGTCTCCAGCTCTCTAAAGAACAGACAACCTGTGGGAATCACATATTCGCTAACTTCTAGCTGGAATGCGGAACGACATGCAGGAAAGGGGCCACAGGTCAGATCCCATCCTGGGCCGCCCGCTCTGAGGGTCAAAACCTCTGCACATAGGATGCACGCCCTAACCACTTTTCCACCGGCGCCCTGTGTACTCGCTAATTTCTATTTACAGATTCTGCAGCACCGGAATTTGGCATAACAAGAATCTCACAATACAAGAATCTGAACTTTCAATGACTCTAGTGACAATCTATGCCAACAAAACTAGAAGTCCCAAGCACCAACCCTGGGGTGTTTCCTTTTTTAAATATTTACCAGAAAGTTGCAAACTAACTTGTGCATGCTGTCTACATTTCACAAACACATTTACAATGTTTCGGTGCCTAGTCGGTACTTTGGCACGACACATTCCCCTCTAATGCAAACCTGTTTCCATCTGTTGGTGTCTAACAAATATTTATCTGCTTTAAAGTGCAGCTAACAGTCGTTTATTAAACCACCTCCCTTCTCATCTCTCAGGTTTGTAGTCGGACTGTAAACAAAGGGGATGGGGGGAAGGGAAGTCCTGGCTGGAAGTCTTTTATGTCTACCTACTGGCTACACCTGAAGAAGCAGAGGATTTTCTGGCACAACTTCACCAACTACCAAGGTGCATGAAGAGTGAAAGGCTTAGGGTCCTGGACCCTGATGACGGCCACAAGCCGAAACGCTTCGCCTAATTTGTTAATAGTGTTGCTGGTGCTTTCTGACCTCTTCTACACCAGAAGAAGCCCTAAAAACATGTCCGTCAATTCTCTTTGGTACAGGGGAGAAATGCTACATTATTTTTATATCTTTTGATGTGAGATTAGAGAGAATAACCTCTGAGGTTCCTCCTCATCTGCACGACAAAAACAGTTTCTCTGTATTTAGATCTCCTGTAGTCTGAGTCTGGCCTCAGAGAAACAACAGAGAACAACATCATTGTGCAGATCCATCTCATTTTGTACGATCTAGTCTCCTTGTATCGAGAGCAGGGACTCAATTTAGACCCTTAGAGATGAGATGTTTGATCTTTTTTTCACTATGGCAACAGCAGCGTCATCCCTGTTTGTGTTTCATCCCTGATGTTGTTGTTCCTTCAGTGTCCTCAAGATGAGTAAGGACACAGAGAAGCAGATCAGCCTGCTCTGATATAAAGCTGACAGCCGAGGGGCCGGACTGACCCCTGACTGCACAGCGAGCCGACGTGCATCTCCAATCAGATGAGAGAACAGTCGGGCTGCACTTCAGAGTGAAGGACGCTCGGTTTCAATTCAGAGATACTCAAACTAAACAAACATCTTCATCAGATTAGGAGAGCGTTTCTGGCAGACTGCATCTACAGAACACTAATGAGGCGCGACACTAAATAAAGAAATAAAAAGCCAGCAGGTCAGGTGACACATTTTCCTTGCGCCTGGGTGGAAGTATTGCCTTTTTATATCGGCCTCAGTAAGCCCACAGTGTGGAGCGGGAAAGTGGAGCAAGAAAAACACACTAATCTATTTCCAATCAGCTTTCTAATTAGTGCGGAAAATGATGTATTGTGACCTGTAATCAGCCTCAACAGTTTCATTTGAGTCATTATCATGGATATTGTAATTTCCTCTAAGTGGAAGTGGGCAGACAGAGGAGGGGAGGGAGGGTCAGCAGCTGTATAGACATTAAGATATGACCGGGCCCGAGTCATTACAGTCACATTCCTCTATCTGCCACGCCGCTGCCCCCGTCAGACTTTAATCTCAGGCCGCGCTGACTGGCAGTCGGCATGAAGGAGCCTCTAATAACCTCGTGTGGACTTTTACCTTTTTATTTTCCAGCTGGCACGTCCCACCTGTCAAAGAAAAACCCCTCTGATCCCAGTTTATCTTCAATTCCCTCTCTGAATGGAACCATAATGTCAGATAAGACAGGTTGATTTTTTTTTCTATTCCTCGAAAGGTAAAGTCACCAGATGCTGAAATCTGTCAAACTGAAGGCAGTTTGGATTTGTAGAAAACTAGGTCCTGGAGATGGATGAACAGAGACACAAACACAAGGACATTTCAGCTCAGTTTGGGATGATGTATGTTCATTTAGAGAGCAGTGAAAGGATATGGGTGAGAGCCTGATCCCGGTTCAGTATGGCCGTCTGTAATTCGTCTTCCAAGGTCAGGAGTCTGTCACTGATCAGCTCACAGCGCTCCGTCAGGTCTGCAGCCTCAGACTCTCCACAGACGTCCTGGAAGGGAAGAAGGAAACAAAAACTAAAGTGATGTGTGAAGGACGGGAGGGTCAAAAACTGAAGCTGCAATGGCGCCAATAAATGGTGCTGATGCACAGAAAGAATAAACAGTTCCTCTAGTGTCCACTAGAGGCTTTCTCCTGCAGAAATATACAAGCTCAAGTAACATTCAGAGTCTATAGCATTTTAATGACAACCTACAATGAGCAGCAACTCCTGCAGCACACTTCTGTCATTTTCCCAGATATTCAGTGAAACAAATAAAGGAGGACTTTTCAAACCAGACGCTTCATGTTCTCATATTTCAGATGTTCAGGTCTGCTCGAGTAGCTATGATTAATGAATGAGCCTAACGAGAGTTAGTAAGTTAAGAAACTTTAACTCTTCTTTTTCTCGAGTATTTTTATATTTTAACGACCTATAGAATGAGTCAGAGCTCAACATGCAGCTCTTCCCTCCCAACATTTAATCTTTCTCACAATCAATCAAGGACGCCGTTTCCAACCACGATAACGTCTCGAGGAAAAATGAAAACATTAAAGTTCTGTAGAAGTCACGATGTCAACATGTGCATAAATCTGTGTGTGTGTGTGTGTGTGAGTGTATGTGTGAGTTTGTGTGTGTGTGCGTGTGTGTGTGTGTATGTGTGTGTGTGTGAGTTTGTGTGTGTGTGTCTGTGTGTGTGTGTGTGTGTCTCTGTGTGTGTGTGTGTGTGTGTGTGTGTGTGTGTGTGTGTGCGTGTGTGTGTCTCTGTGTGTCTCTGTGTGTGTGCGTGTGTGTGTGTGTGTGTCTGTGTGTGTGTGTGTGTGTGTGTGTGTGTGTGTGTGTGTGTGTGTGTGTGTGTGTGTGTGTGTGTGTGTGTGTGTGTGTGTGTGTGTGTGTGTGTGTGTGTGTGTGTGTGTGTGTGTGTGTGTGTGGATGGAGGAGCAGGGTGCAGAGCGTTCAGAGGCCATAATTAGAACAGGCCCCTTTGCAGACATCGTGTCCTACTTTCTTCACACTTATCAACGAGCAACGAGAACACACACACGCCAGAGTACACAGACGCACTCCCAGCACACACACACACACACACACACACCCAATGTTCCTATCAAAACAACACATCTGAAGTTGAATCTGACTCATAGCTGCAGGTAGAAAATATCAAGTCCCTGCAGCTCGGAGGTGTCAGAGCAATCACTGGAAAGTACTGTCGTCGCGCTCTGTCCTTAACAACACTCCTCCGGATGATGTAACAGCCAGAAAGAAATGTACAACAACAAAAAGGCCTGAGGCACGACCAAATGTTCGAGTTCTCCCTAATGCAATTAATGACTTAAGTAAGACTCGCAGGCAGAAGAGCCCGAAAGATAAAAGATTTAAAGACAACACCGTGTTTCTGCGCTCCCTGTCGTCCTTAACGACGGAGGAGAAGATCCTCGGAGCTGTTTGTTGGTTTGTGGAGTCGAGGAGCGTCTTCAGTAGATGAGAGCTGCGTGTTTGTGGAGCTGATTGGTTCTTTGTTTTACAGCCTCCGGTCAGCATTTGTAAAGTCAGCAGACCCGCAGGACTGAAAACAAACGCTCTCTGTGCCGATCTACACGCTTTAAAACAATCACACAGTTTGTTTTTTAATATCAAACCAAAACGACTCAAACTAAACTCTGTCTGATTCCTCTGCCTTTGAAATATCCACAACATGAAGCCTATACACCGGTACACCTTTATATGCAGGGCAGTTCTTGGTCTGCTCCCACACTACCTCTGTGTTTTACTCATGCTGAAAGTACCAGACATGATTCTTTATGCTCTCTGACCCAAAACAGACAGAAATTATGAAAAGGTGTTTTGTGTTTTCTGCACCGTCGGCCTGGGATCAGTTGCAGAGTGGCTTAAAGCTCAAGGAGAGGTTTTTAAATCTACAATGAAAGACCTGGAAGCAGATCCTACAGGACGTCAATGTTTTTAGCTCGACTGCTTTAACTACTGACTCCAGGTTTGACTCATCGATGTTTTTTCTCTTTTAATGCTAAATTTGAATGTTTTGTAAATCGTTCTTTGTCTCTCATTGTGCCTCCGTCTGTAACTTTGGGTTTTTGTTGCTGACTGTCTCGGCCAGGACTCCCCTGGAAAAGAGGTTCTTGATCTCATCGGGACCAACCTGGTTAAATAAAGGTTCAATCAATAAAAAAATGTCAGTCTGCATGAAGAATATCACATGTACAGGCGAGTTTCTTCCTGATTCATGTTAGAGAATATTTTTTAATCGAGAGTAAAGCATGAACATGTATTTGAAGTATTTTATACCAAACAAAAGTCTGTTTGGTTCTCCTTGAATTCTACTCTCGCAACAAAACTCCTCCGTTTGCATCCTACTAACAGCGTTCCTGAGTGGGCGGGGCCGCGGCCATCCAGAGAAAAAGTGTAACGCCCTCTGTCTTTTCTCCGAGGCCTCTGTCTTTTTTTGTTTTGCTCCGAGCGCTCAAGTTGAAAATCTTTCAACTTTTCAGAAAGGCACTGTTGATGTCACCGGCGCTCTTTTCAAATTGTTTGATATTCGCTGTAGTTTAGTGTCTTGTACCCACATCCTCCTCGCTCCGTGTCTGATCAATCTCAAATTTAAAATATGCAGTAAACAGTCATACAGTGGCTGTTGTCAACAGACTGTTGTCATGGAGACAGGACGGGCAGGCAGCGCTTTTCTTCTCAGAGCATAAACGCTTCATGCAGACACTCCAGAGCACTCAGCCAGCGCTTTTCATGCTAGGTGGACACGGGGCTAACAGTTGGACAGGGCGGTGTTCACATGAATGAAACATGTTTGATCATCTGAGCGAAACATAAAAAATAAAGAGACAACGTTTCCATCATCTGGTCTTTAAACTCATCCGGTTTTAGTTTCAGATTAATGATCTCGTCAACATTTAATTTGAATAATGTCTCTGTTCCTGTTCTCCACTGAGGGTCGGTGTGAAGAGGAGAACGTCAGGACACAAAGAGGATAAAAGAACAATTACTCCAGATTAAAAGGAAAAAGGAGCAGCGGCACACACACACACACACACACACACACACACACACACACACACACACACACACACACACACACACACACACACACACACACACACACACACACACACACACACACACACACACACACACACACACACACACACACACACACACACACACACACACACACACACACACACACACACACACAATCAATCTCCATCGCGGCGGCAGGGCAGCAGCTTGGCAGCAGCTAAGTGGAAATCATTTACTTAAAGTCATTAAGGAGAGGAGAAAAGGGTCAGACGATGGAGGAGAGTCAGAGTCGGAGTCGGAGCAGTATCACAACGCCATCAACACAAAGACACTGACGACATTTCACAAACGTTCTGTACAAGGGCTCGAGACCAAGGACGTCCCATCATCCCGGGGTCGATGCAAAATGTGCTTAATATGAACAAAAAACTTTCCATGAACGACATCCTGACATCAGTCTGTAAACCTTTCTGTGTTCTAACCTCTCTCCATTTTTCAAAAGCATCTCCAATATTGATCCTAGTTTGAGCACGTTTCTGCTCGTGGAGCTTATTAGAAACATGCAGAGGCTTTTTAGGTCGGGTACAATCACTTCTATCTGAACCACTTCTCTTGCCCGCTTCCATCACTGCAACACCTGTTGGTTTGACCTGATAACTGCTCTCATATCTGGCAAACCGAGGGGCATCCAAAACGGCCGTGTGGGGGTGCCTTAAAAGCACCTACCTTCTCTGGTCCAAACAAATCCAGAACATTCAGGAGCAGAATCTAAAGTTAGAAGGAGGACATACTGGCTGCTACATTGTTGTCAGAGAAGCCAGCACTTCAACATAGCATGTTTTCTTAATGTCTGATCATATAGTAAGGTCACTTTATCATTTCACTCTCTACACATCTCACTGATTGGTCCTTTAGAGGGGAGAGGTTCTGAAAGGTGTTTCCTGTTTAGTTAACGCTCTGTTTAAAGAAAGTCTGGTGAAAAGGTTTCAGTCAGTAAACAGATCTCCTCATGTAGATCAGTATTGATTGGACGTTCAGAGAGGCGACAGAGGTCATGTTTAAGTTAAGGTCAGATAATGGATTGCGGTGAGCCATGGCGTCGATGAAACTGACACTTTAATTACACTGATAACATCCGATAACAGAGAGACGGGGTGCGCCTTACCTCGGGCTGACTCTCCTCCATGCAGAACAAAAACTCCTCCAGCTTCTGCAACAAAACAAAAACAAAACGTTAACAGTTGTTGAAGCCACACAGTCACAAACCGGCTCATGAATTATTGAAAGTACAATTATGTGGACCGTGTTGTGTTTGTGTGCAGCAGCGTCATCGTAATGAGCAGAGGTTGTAATTATTCATCAACAAACTGACGAGGAGAGGAGAGATGAAGCGGCTCATCTGTGCTGCAGGTTTCTTTGTTAGCATTCAAAGTGTTTAATCGTACATTTATTTGACTCACGGAGGAGGAGGTAATTACTGCACCTATGGGAGGAGAACAGATTGTGTGTAGCTTCAGGGTTTAAGACATAACACAGCAGAGTAACAACAAAAATAATCTGCAGACTTTTCATTATTATTTCTTCATCAGAGCCACCTCCATCCCTCCGCTCTGCAGTAAACACAGTGTACCGTCTACAACCACTAATTGTGTTTAAGCTGCAGTTTAAACCAGAGTGTGTGTGTGTGTGTGTGTGTGTGTGTGTGTGTGTGTGGCCGACTTGCTCAGAGGTCGTTAAGGATCATGCTCTCCTTTGTACAGTAACAGGACGTAGTTAGGACGACTAGACGATCGCCGAACTGCGAAATCAGCAGGCTGTTCGGGGTGATCGAGTCAAGTAAAAACCAGGCCTGATGCAGATCTGTGATGTGTATAGGCCAGTTTAAAAAGACCACCAACAATGACCCGGACATTAATGAACTTAATGAAATAACTAATAGAGCTGTCACATCTGTAGAAAACTCCTGAAGAACTCCTGATATTTCCCTGAGGAGCTGCATGTGTGAACATAAACAGATGAATGCTTCACTCAGGCTTCACCCAGAGTTCCTCCTGCAGCCTCCTCGTATTTTAACACAAGGTTTACTCCTGAACGTTGTGCGCTGTCGCTTTGCTGGAATAGAAGCAAAATGGTGGAAGATATTTTTCTTATTTTTCCTCTCATAAAAACACAAAGAGCAGCAGGGCAACAACAGTTCCCTCTTGGTGCAGCTCTCCATCTTTCATCTTTCACTGGAGATGTAACTGTTGTGAAAGAAATCATGTTAGCAGGGCGCGCTGGTGGCACAGTGGCAGGGCGCGCGTCCCATGTGTTGAGACTCTCGTCTCGAGCGGTAGGCCCGGGTTCACCTCCACCCGTGGCCCCTCTCCACATGTCATTCCCCGTTCTCTCTCCCTGGTTTCCAACTCTATCCACTGTCCTCCCTCTGCACTAAAGGCACGAAAAAGCCCCAAAAAAGAAATCATGTTAGCTGGTTAGTAATTATCTATCTAATGTGATGCAAGTTGCAAAGAACCATACCAGAACTTGATACAATTTTATTAAAAATCTAATTCCGATAACACCACAACAAAAACAGAAGTCCTAGGCACCAAGTATCGGATCGTTTCTTGTTTTAAATATTCAAAAATCACAAGTAAACTCGTGCACACCATCTCCATTACACAAATACGTTCGCAGAGTTTGGGTACAGAAACATTGTTTTTTTTACCGGGTGAGCAAAATTACAAAATCCTTTGCATCCCAATATTGTGAAATTTCTGGAAACATCGATGGATTTTTCCTGACTTTTTGTTGTTATTTTGTTCCATGAACGTCTCTTAAGAAATAGATGTTGTCTTTTGAAACGTTTGCACTTTACGATGCTGTTGTTCATTTAAACGCAGGGTTGGTCTTTTTTCGAAAAAACTAGCATGATTTTGGAAGTAGCATTCCCTCAGTGCTCCGTCTGCACCCACCCCCTCCCCTCTGTGCTCCCTCTAAAGCCACGCCCCCTCACTTACATGCACAAGCGCAATTGCTCCAGAATTGGACCTCAGCTCATCTCTTACATTGTGTAGAAACTACGTCTCAGCAGTAAGTAAACTCACAGTATAAACTCCGTCATCAGTGACGCACTTTGAGTGTGGACTAGAGCTCGCATGGGGTAGAGAGCGAGCAGGGAGACAGGGAGGCGCCTGATTGGTTCATCAGATTGGTATCTCGTATCAGACATTGGTCGAAGTTTTTACAGGATTACAACTGATACAGATGACTGATTTTCTTTGTTCCTTTTTCAGAGAACATGAGTTATTAAAACTGAGATAGGTTTACCTCGATATATTTATAAACTGAGAGGATACCACAGGATCTGCACTTAATCTTAAATTATAGAATATATTTAAGCAGCCATTTGATTAACTACACAGTGAATTCTGCATACATTTTCCTACACTGAGCTGCAGGGTTTCCCAGAGATAAAAAGAGTGCAAAGGACGGAGACAATAGAAAGAAAGAAATGGTCGGCAGTCTCACCTTTGAGTTCTTGCAGAAATGTTAGGAGGGGCCAGGCTTCAGGAGGAGAAAGAAAAGCAGAGAGAAACAAAGGGAGAAGCAGAAAAAAGAGATGCATGCAGGTTTTAAAAATCAGTCGGCTTGAGAAAGGAAAGAAGAGATCAGTGCATTGTGAATGTTAAATGTTGCACGGGGAGAATTTAAAGAGGGAGCAACAGGAGAGAAGTAAAACAGGAATGAAAATGATCTGTTACAGTGCATGCTGGGAATTCTTATCATGCACCAACTGCAGCACAAAAACATTTTAAGTTTCCTCTATTGCTTAAAATAAGAAAACATTTCATATAAAAATGGAGGAGGCAGATTAACTGAACACAGTCTCACAAACTGTCTGGAAATGTTGGTATTTTTTCTCCTGATGCTTTCTGTGTTGGCTTTGTTCCAATCTCAGACGAGTCTGTGAGACGACGTGGGCGGAGGAAAGTGTGAGGAGAGAATGAGTCGGACTCTACCCTGAGGCAGCGGCCCTCGACTCACTGTGGGATAGACCAGCATGGAGCACACACACACACACACACACACACACACACACGCTCTCACACACACACACACACACACACACGCTCTCACACACACACACACACATACACACACGCACACACATACACACACACGCTCTCACACACACGCACACACATACACATACACACACACACGCTCTCACACACACGCACACACATACACAAACACGGAGCACACAGACAGACACGGAGCGCGCACACGGAGCGCACACACACACACACACACACACACACACACACACACACACACACACACACACAAACACAGAGAGCTCTCACACACACAGAGCGTGCACACACTCCTTCTAAACATGTAATCGTGCAGAAACAGACTCTCACATCTGCGCTCTTCAGAATGAATCTCTACACGGAAGCCGGTATACTTCCACGCCGGTTCCTCCCTCAAGCCCACACTTTCCTCGTTTAGTAAAAAAAAACCCATCCGAGCAGAAACACTGATCTTCTGCTCGTTCCACTGTTATCTCCAGTGGTGGTTCTAGACCACCTTTACTGAGGGGCCAAACTGGGGCCAGTTGTTTTGTCAGAGGGGGACAATAAACCCAGGTGAAAAATAGACAAAGATGATCGCTTTAAAAAATATATATGTATATAATGCCAAATAATAGCACACATCATTAAATACCATGATTTATATTTGTTTCAGTAACAGTATTTAATACTAGATTGTGAGTCCGGTTGTTGAGTCAAATACTGTGTTAATGTGTTATGAGGGGGGCTCTTCCTTTTGGGGGGTGGCCACAAGGGGGACTAAGCTCAGTGTTACAGGGGCACTGGCCCCGGTTGGCCCCTGCCGAGAACCGCCCACTGTTGTCGAGGCTCTTTCATTCTCTGACAGCTGAGTGTAAACACTGAACACGTTGTCTCCAGTCGAGTGGTAGGACTGACCGGGGCGGGGACACTTCATCGGAGGTCACATTTAAAAAAAGAACGAGCATCAGAATGTGAGAGCAGGCGGCTCTTATCCAACCTTTCAGTGAGGATGTGAAGAAGAAATGAAACATGGAGGGTCTCCGAGGGAATCTCCTACAGTGCAGATACCCTAACTCACAGCGCAGTATGAATGCATAGGCGCATGAATAAAACATTGTGTGTTGTTAACACTCAGCGTTGTGTTACCTTCGTGAACTCGGAGTTCTGTAAGTTTGCCTCGGGACACCAACGCCCACCCAACGCCGTCAGCATGGCGCAGTCTTCTTCTTCTTCTTCTTCTTTGGTGCTCTGCGGGGTCAGAGGACAAGCCGCTGCAGAGGGGCGGTCCTCCATGTCCGCTCCGCTGCAGCTCGGGGTCCTCAGCTGGAGACCCCGCAGGAACAGGTGACACGCCTCCAGGTCGGCCTCCCAGATCCGCTCCAGACCAGGACAGCCACAGCTACACAGAGGAAAAGACCAGGATGTTACCATACTAAACTGTACCAATCCATATCATATCATACCAAATCATAATACATCACAATACATCACACCACATCATACCACACAAATATTATACAGTTTCAATCCCACTAAAAGACACATTACCCATGATGCAATTCCCCCAATAAAAGCCATGGGGCAGTAGAAGCAAAACTACATGATGCAATGCACTTCCAAATCAAAACAAAAAAGCATTTTTACAAACACCAGGGAGTTGGACACGAGTTGTGCAATATCCTAACAGTGTGTCCTAACAGTGTGTCCTAACAGTGTGTCCTAACAGTGTGTCCTAACAGTGTGTCCTAATAGTGTGTCCTTACAGTGTGTCCTAACAGTGTGTCCTAATAGTGTGTCCTAACAGTGTGTCCTAATAGTGTGTCCTAATAGTGTGTCCTTACAGTGTGTCCTAACAGTGTGTCCTAATAGTGTGTCCTAATAGTGTGTCCTTACAGTGTGTCCTAACAGTGTGTCCTAATAGTGTGTCCTAATAGTGTGTCCTAATAGTGTGTCCTTACAGTGTGTCCTAACAGTGTGTCCTTACAGTGTGTCCTAACAGCGTGTCCTGACAGCGTGTCCTGACAGCGTGTCCTGACAGCGTGTCCTGACAGCGTGTCCTGACAGCGTGTCCTTACAGTGTGTCCTAACAGCGTGTCCTGACAGCGTGTCCTGACAGCGTGTCCTGACAGCGCGTCCTAACAGCGCGTCCTAACAGCGCGTCCTAACAGCGCGTCCTAACAGCGCGTCCTAACAGCGCGTCCTAACAGCGCGTCCTAACAGCGCGTCCTTACAGCGTGTCCTAACAGTGTGTCCTAACAGCGTGTCCTAACAGCGCGTCCTAACAGTGTGTCCTAACAGTGTGTCCTAACAGTGTGTCCTAACAGTGTGTCCTAACAGTGTGTCCTAATAGTGTGTCCTTACAGTGTACGGCTTGATTCCATTGTTTCCTGGTTGAGTGTGTTCTAACGTCCTGCGAGCATCGCAGCATAGGGCAGCATATGTAAAGACAGCTCAGGAAGCCTTGACCTGAAGTCCTTTTTTGTTAACGGCTGCCTCGCAAGGGCGCTTTGAAAAGCGGAGTGGAGTAGATGTTTACTGAACGACCTGCTCCACCCTTCAGAGTCACAGACACACTGAGTCATGCAGCCGAGTGGACAGTACAGGACGTCTTTAATACGATATGTACAATAAAGCTCTGACAGAGAAGGAGAAATAAATCGAGATGAGTTATTGTAACGAAGCGTGATGAAAGTGAACGCCCTCCAGTTATTAAAAGAGAGAGAGAGAGAGAGCGCCTTCATGTTCATCTCTGCCGGGGTCACTGAGCACAAGTTCAGAGGGAGGACAGCAAGATGACTTTTTTTATCTGATTCACTTCCATCAGTCATCCATATGTATGAATATATGAATATACCTCGACCTGATCCTCCAGAGGAAGAAAAACCAGGAGAGAGAGCAATTTAAAAAAGCAACGTGACGACTTATGAGAAGGTCTTTTTGGCTTTACAAAACATGATTTCATTTCTCTTAAAAATACTCTTCTAAGACCTCTAACCTTTCAAATGTTTGTGTGCATGCCCTTTCCCTTTCTCTGACATTTAGATAACAAATCATCCTTGAATAATTCAGGTTCAAGGGACATTTTAGGAACCAAATCCAATGATTTTGCAAGAAATTCTTCATCTAATATATTCTAAAAATATAAAAAAACAATAAAGAATGCATAGACTACATAAATGATGAATGCAGCCATTATGGCATCATAGATTGGTTTGCTGAATGCCTTTTTGAAGCCAAAAGATCAGTATTTTCTTCATCTCCATCTTTGTTTCTGAAGCCGGAAGTGACCATATTTGGACAAGAGGGCGGAGCTAGAGAAGAGTGAGGGATTTACAAATGCCAAAACAAAAAGTTAAACGCTAACAACAGTCCTGACTCCCATGGACAGGAACATAAATCAAATGACAAACAGGGAACAAACTAACAGTCCATGTGTATTATTAGTCTGATATTTACATGACCAAATCTCCAAAAGGCTCCAACAACACAAACACGGCCCAGAGGTTAAAGGTCAGGGACTGAATCAGCTGAGGTGACACCTAGCAGACAGCTAGCAGCTCCCATCTGTCACTCAAAGAGGCCACGCCCCCTAATTCTACATCCCTTAAAGCCTTAATATAATGTAAACAGGTGAGTTGTATAAACATTCAGCCCGTACAGATGAAGAGAGAAATGAGCTCTAGAGACCCAAACTGTTTTTGTACCAGACTGTAAACATGTTTATTTTAACATGGAGCTCTATGGAGACTGACTCACTGCAGGAGACAGACTCTAGTGGACACTGGAGGAACTGCAGCTGTTTTCACTGGCTGTATCTATTATCTCTTGAGCTGGCTGCTTGCTCCTCACTACAGAGCATCAATATTTAAATTTAAATATTGATGCTACGACGGATTATTTTTCTTACTTTTAAAAGTAAGAAAAATAATCCGTCGTACCCTTCCTCCATAACAACCTTGCTTCCAGGAATGTGTGTGTGTAGAAAAAACAAACTGAAGCTGACAGAAAGCACCACATATCTTAAAGGAAGAAACGTCCTCAGACTCTGTGTTTGTGTCGATTTCCAACCCAGGAGGAGTCTCCGTCTCTTTCACACTTTCACACCGACTCACTGAGAATGATAACAGGTAAGAAGTCTGCACACAAATAAAAACTCATATATGATATATTCAGTATTTTCACCTAGAGAGCGGCTCCCTGCAGCGACGGTAGATTTGAGAAATTGAGAAATTGCTTGTTCTCCATCATGCATAAACAAACTCCGAGGCAGAAGCAGCCAGACAATGCTGTTTAATCTTCCCCTCTGTTCCCCCTCTCTCTCTCTCTCTCTCCCTCTCTTTCTCTCTCTGTGTGTGCTGAAAAATTGAATGCCACTTGTTTTCCAGCCCATCTCCTGCCTGAAAAGGCTGCCAACCTCTGCACCCTGCCAACGCACGCCTCTCAGCCGCTCGCTAACCTTCGTTTGGCACACAGACAATAGAAAAATTGCTCGGCCCAGCCCCCCTGCCTCGCCAATTCACCACTCAACGCTGCTGCCTCTGAATTCTGCCATAGTGGGGACGCAGCCAGTGAGCCGAGCCATTGTTATTTGTCTCTTCTGAAGTGGAGAGAGACACACACACACACACACACACACACACACACACACACACACACAAATCATTCTCTGTGACAATCAAACATTTCTCTAAAAACGTCAAAGTCGGCCTCATCAATCACAAAGCGTTTCTTTAACGACAAACACGATTCATTACAAACAAACAGCTTTATGTTCAGACAACACGTCAGCTGTTAAACGTCTCTGTGATGTCAGCGCCCTGTTGCCCGTCGGCATGAACTCCTCGCCCGGGGGTTAATTGGTGGCAGCCGCTCGGCAGGGTGTGGGTGTGCTGCTCGGCTGATGGCCCGGTAATAAGACGGAGAGACAAACGGGCATGATCTGTCCTACAGTCGCTCAGTGCGTCCTGAGGGAGCGCTGACTGACAGCGCTGCTCTTTCTCCTCCAGGCGATACACACACAGACATGCAGACAGAGGAGGATTATATTTATAACTGCTGAATGAAGGAGCAGCTGTCGGCTCCTGCTGTTACCACCAGGTTCTGTTAGACGGCTGGCCTGCAGTCAGGATGTTTTCTGCTATCTTTTCTTCACTGTTATTTCACGTTAGCTCATGCAGTGGTCCGTCAGAAGTTTGTATATTATTTATCTTTGCACTTTAAGATCATTCCCTGCTTGTCTAGTGAAACCCATGGGGAAGTTAATCAGAACGGTATTGGGCAGACAATCTTCAGCAAAGGCCAGATTTGGTAGTGGTTCTAAAGATCTTCCCATGTACAGAAGCTTAGAGGCCCTGACACACCAAACAGATTGGCGGTCCTAGTTGGACTGTTAGTGAGCGGTCGTCGCACTAGTTTTTGCGGTGTGTCCTGCTCCGTCGGGCCCCGTCTGCATTTTGTGGCCGATTCGACATGTTGAATCAGGTCTGTGAGAGGAATCTCTCTGATTGGCTGTTGGGAGGTTTCATTTCTCTCCAGCTCTCCTCACAGGTTCAGTAAAGCCCCTTGAGCATGTCGCTGTAGTATCCACGCTTTCACCCATTAGTGCGGTTTCTCCTTGTTTGTCTCCGCCGCCTCTTCTTTTCTTTTTCCACTAAAAGACCAAGAGCTGACAACACCAGCGCCATTTTCAACTTTTTATCAGACATTATTCTCCATTAGTAGACGACCTATAATACAAGTGGTGAGCGACAGCGGTGTGAAAATGGTCTTCTCGTATCATAACAACAGACTACCTCCACCTGCTGGCAAGGAGAGTTATTTCCTCTCACACATGAGCAGAACGTACGTGGTGGTTGGCCGTCGGCTGTACTCTTTGTGGTGTGTTCAAGTGCAACCTTTTGGCCAAGACGTGAGGCGGCGCCACAGGCGGCCTTCGTCGCAACGAGTTCTTTGCCGTCTGCTTGGTGTGTCAGGACCTTAAGTCCTCAAGAGCAGGCAGCAAGGGTTTGCTTCCTTACTTTATGTGGCTCGTCTCACTCACTCTCTCTCTCTCTCTCTCTCCCTGGTTTCCGACACTATCCACTGCCCTATCTCTAAAAGAATAAAGGCATTAAAAGCCCAAAAATTGATTCTAAAAAAAAAAGGAGCACGCAAGCACTCTGTGGATTGTAACATGGACAAAACGATAGCAAATTTGGAAGCGAGCTGACTGAAGAAGGATAAACAACAAACACTGCAAATCAGTGTTCACTAACGTCCAGCTCGCTCTCTAACCTTTATATGCCATGTTCACAATGTCTCTTGATGTTTTTATTCTTCCTGAACTGTCAGTGAAAAAAAAGCTATCACAGATTCTTCTGCCAGTCGTCCACCATGTTTGTTGACTCCAAAGTCACATCT